CACATCTTAAAAACACATATACTGTAAAAACAATGGCTGGATCTAGAATGAAATGAAATTGATAAACAGCCACAAATAGAACCACAAATTTCGGAAAACCATAGTCCCACATTAATGGATGCAAGATAATCGTATTTTGTGATAATTACCTCATTCATTTGTTTTTCAAATTCCATCATCACTTCGTGGTAAGATTTCCTACCATGTGCTATTGCATTCGCCTACAAGAATTAAATATATCTATGTTAATCACGGGCAGATCAAGAATAGTGTGGGGCGGGGGCACAACATTTTCAGAGTAGATAAGTTAGTAGCACATAAAATTAGTATACATTGACATTTTTAAATGTAGTATCAAAACGGGGGTGGGGGTGCGCCTTATAGAATTAGCGCCTGTTAAAAGCCATGGTTTCACAAAAAAAATGGTTATGATGCTGCATTTGTCAGATCAAACGCAGTTCATACAAGAAATTCTTGACGATTATTTTCAAATCATAACCACAAGACGATGGATGCTATTTCAGCAATAAATCAATTGTATACACTTACAGACATTTATGCCGTAACAGACCATCAACCTCCAAACTAATTCATTTTTGTAGTAACCCAAAAAGTGTTTCTGTGAGAATTTGTTCTCCAATATATAAAATAATCCATCCATTCCATCTCAAAAAAAAAATTGCATGTTAAACATACCCCATTTCAATTTTGATAATTTTATATTTTCAATATGCTCAGACTGAATTTGTATACATCATCTTCTAGTCAGTTTGTTCAATAAAATGTAAAATATTTTTGTTGATGCAGATCCAAATGATTCAAGAAAGTAATTTTGTAAGACAATTTTAAAGTTAACATGAGATGAGAATGAGATACAAATTAGGCCTAATTGTGTCTGTATTACTTTAGTTTGGGTGCTTAGCTTGGTATTTATTGTTTTTATTTTCCGCCTTTTTCTTTGTTTTCTAGACTTCAATATTGTCGAGCGCATAGAGACCTCGTTTACTTGCGCTATATAAATCCATATATTATCATTATTATATCATTATCATATAATATAATATCAGGACCTAACAGGATTTACATAGAAAGTCCCTAAATTTTTTAGAAAAATCATATTGTTTGATTGGTAATAAAATTAATTCCAAATGTTCTCACCTCAGGTATGCCTTCAACTTCAAACAGCTCTCCATCAGTGATAACCTCCATGTACCTCTGAAATGCGTAAAAAAACAATCTTACTGATTTCATATAAAATGTACGTCTTTGTACCAACAATTAAGCGTACACATGTTACCCAGATATTACCTTAAAATAATTGAATAGGCTTTCACATGTCACGTCTTTTCCATCAATTCTTTTGAGCTCAGGCACATCTGATAAAAACAAAAGCTGTACCAATTCCCTCACCGTCTTTTTAAACCTATCAGGAATGTCTGATGATTAAAAAAATATCAAATTTAAGATCGTAAGTGCAATTACGCCATAATGATGATAGTAATAATTATCATTGTTATCGATATTGTTATTGTTATCACCATCATAATTATCCCTATTATTATCATAATTATCATAATTATTTAGTATTTCCTAAATAGCCTTTAGGACTATGTAACAAACATTTTTCCACAAAGTTGTAAAAAACTAAACATGGTTTGTTTTTTAATGACTATTTCCCTTTTTTATTTGCCACCAAAAGAACCTACATAGGAAATGTCTTGAGACTCTTGTAGGTTATCCTCGGTTCGTTTCATAAATAAGGTAACCAACCTGAACCAAGAAAAGACAGAATAAACCTAGAATAAAGTTCATTTGTTTATTGAAATTACTACAAGCAAGGCGTTAGAGATACCTTTTTACATCATTACTTACCTTTAAATTGACCCTTGCTCACACCCTCGCAAACTTCATCCCCTGGGTGAGGCATGAGAAAACACATTATTTTATCAAACACCTCATAAATAGATTTTCTTAACTGTATATTTTCTTCACTTTGCATTGGAGATATTTCCTATAAAACAATCAATCAATTAATCAAGCAATCATGAAATCAATGAGTCATTCAATCAATTAATCAATCGATAAATAGATGAATTGGTCAACAAACCAATGAATCAAGCAAATCATGATAATGGATGAATCATCAAGATGAATCATTAGATACAAGACAAACAATCAGAGTTTGAGTAAGTCTAATGTTAAATGAAATTTAATATGGAATAATTATTATTATTAATTTATATTTTTTTTTGAAAAATACATCAATATAATCAACTTCTCCAAAAATATTAAAATTAATGTTTAAAATCAATTGCCTTATTATAATCTGAACCTATTACTACTTTTGAATGATGATTACGTCTTCTAGATTTCATGATTAATACCTGCCTTTGCTACATTAGGTCATTGTGTCAAATAATAATACACTATCCTTATCGGTATGGTACCACACCTCTCATTGTGTATAATCTTTCAATACCATAATAACAAATTTGTGATAGTCAATAGACTGGTAGTTCCTAACCTGAGATTAAAATCCCATAGTTAACAATTGCAACTAACCATGCATTTCTTAAGGCGTTTCATGCCGCCAGCTTTTCCAAATGAACATTCATATTGACTTGCCCAATCTCGAATAAGAAACAGCAGTTTCTGGAAATATAATATAAAACATTAAGTAATATTATAAAATATTATTTTGTTTTTAAATTTATATACAAAAAAGAGTACACATGTACATTATTAACAAAGGAAATAGTAAAAAATGTAAATATCATCTTGTAAAATTTCCCGATATCAAATCTAAAACAATTATTATTTGATGCGTCTGCAATCTTGAAAGCCAAAACATCTATCTTTCAGAAATATTCTCCATGTATTCTTCCAAAAAACTTAAACAATGAATTTTGAAATTTAAATTATTAAATAAAGTTTTAGCTTTTAATTAAACAAAGAATTAGAGCGACGAAGTTTTTGTCGTTAATTAACTGACATGTTTCTGTAACTCTATTTGTTCTATAAAAACGTAATATAACACTCTGCTGAATTATGTAGGAACATGATGTTATAAAATCGTATCAAACTTATTTCATCAACGGAAGTTCCTTGGTCACCTGATCAACCTAGTGGAATGCGTCTAATAATATTTAGAGGCACGCCTCGTGAATATGGCAAATGATATTAATTTATTGTATAATTTATACACTTCATTTGGAATGCCATAGGATTATTTTAGTGTACTGGGAGGCCAAAAGGTGTGGTGGTAAAATTTACAGTGATTTCCTTCATCCTTCCGATTTTTGTCGATCCAATCGGCAATTTGATCTATTGCAAGGGTGGAATTGAAAGTTTGTTGGAGGGCCAAAGTGAATTTTGGATTTAACACCGAGGGTCACACCCAAAATTTTGATGGTTCCAGTGTGATTCCAAAACCTTCATTCACTGCTTTTATGCCACCTTCTTCTCATTTTTAATATTGCTTTTTACTGATGATCGGTGTTTGGCCGTAAAAACAAGGTATTTTCTTGCAAAAAGGGTTGGCAAATATAATTTTTAATTTGTCTCCGCGGGCCAAAAAAAAAGTCATTATCGGGCCGCACTTTGCCCACTCGTGGGCTATTGGAATAACCCGGAAATTTACAATTGAGTGACCAGCTGAATTGAAAAGTTCGGCTACTGGTTGATCATGAAGCTTAGATGTTTTGATAGCTGATCTATGTTGTGTCATTCTCTTACGAAGAGTGTTCTTTTGTTTGTCCGACATTTTCACCACAAATACTACAATATATGAGATAAATTACATCTTTGGTGAGTCAATTCATTGATTGCCTTATCCTTAGTATGTGGTTTGTTTGGTTGTTCTTGAATGATGGCGGAAAATGAAGCAAGGAGCATGTTTTGCATGATGAACCACTAAGATGACTGCCCAACTTATGGCTGTCGCAAGAGTCAATTTGCTTCTTAAATTTAGCTCTTACTAATAGTATTACAAAGGTTAGGTGGTCTGCGATAGGGTTCGGAGCATGCCCCAAAGAAGTGTTTGTTTTCAAAACGCCAGGAAATAACCCATGAGGCGTTTTGGACGATTCATAATTTTCTTTGATATTTCTTTAACTTTTACTTTCCATAAAAAGGAGCCGGGCGGATCGGCTCATGAGACGTTCTTTTGTCTGTAGGATGGGCATATGTTTCTGAATTATAGCCCTTAGTGGTGGTAACCTACAGTGATAGATGTGTATAAGAGACAGGAGTAATGCATGTTGAAAATCTAAAATTTGAAAGACTGACTGTTTTCTTACCTGGAAAGGCTTATTGTCATTCTTAACTGCAATTCCATACCCAACAAATAGTTGAAGAAATTGGAGGTCTGCTTCGTTGATATCGGATTTGATATTATATACCTGCAATGAAATCACCTGCAATTATGACACATTGGCATATTTTGAAAAAGCCTTTAACGCGTCAACGTTTTTGATACCTCCCTCTTTATAGTTATCTAATTTGTCAAAAAAAAACATTTAAAAAAAATAAAAATAAACAATCATAATAGCCTCTACAATTATTACGCTGTCTTCAGTCACAATTATTTTTATCTATTTTTCAATTTTTTAAAGCAATTCTATCTGCAATACAGATTAACGTAAATGTTTTAATACAAAGTGCTTTATTCACTAAGCTCCGATACTCATCGGCATCAAGAATGTTTTATCTTAACACCTGTGTTTTCCTTATAGAGCACTGTGTGCCATCTACTAATAGTTGAAATAAATAAGTGGAATAAGCTATTTAAGATATAATACCGTAAAACCTCGAATTGAAGCCCAGTGGGCTTAATCTCGAGATGAAGCCAATTTCTAATTGAAGCCTTCCCTCTTTTGCAAAATTAGCCTCGAAAAGAAGCCTACCTTGAAAAGAGGCCCATGGGCTTCTTTTCAAGATAGATAGGCTTCTTTTGGAGATACAATACATACACTGTACATTAATTTCAGGAAACAAAATAAGGTAAATGCAAGCTTGATTTATAAAAGTAGTTTAGTTGATTTAATGCCAGTTCAATACACTCCATGATACAGATTTATGTTACAGTGGCCTTATTTATTGATTTATAATACAAATTCACAAAATTTACAGCATTCATTTTGAAAAAAATCCCCCTCCTTACTTTGTAAAAGTAGACCATCTCGAAAAGAAGGCTATTTCAAAAAAGCCTATAATGCTGGCAAAAACAAAAAAAAAAAAAAACAAAAAAAAAACAAGACATATATAAGAAATTTATATAGGCTTCTACGGAAAAACCCCAAACCAGATATTGATAAACATATAGACAAATAATATGTAACCGTACCTGTATGGAGCTCAATAATGTGCTAAGTGCAAACATTGAAGCATTTAGTCTCATGGGTGTGTATTTATCTTGTGTTCCTTGAGTATCCATCAAAACGACACCGAACTACAAAAGGTATAACACATATTTATGAATGTAACAGAAGAACAATATAGTGCAACCTTGAAGCGTATTTGTTGCTCAAGATGCAAAGCTGAAGTTTCAGCATTCAAACGGCTGAATTAGTATTCAACTTTTAAAAAGCGTTTGTTTATTAATAACAATCGTAATTCTACCACAATCACCACCACCACTACTACTAATATCACTGATACTGCTACTAATGCTGCTGACAGGCGTTGGCTGGCATTGAAACCATCCATGCGGAAAGTATCGTCGCTCACATCACGAACTAACACAATTAAATTCAATTGTGTTAGTTCGTGAAATCAAAAAAGCGCGTCAAAATACGCGCTGTTGTTGTTAAGGACTTTTTGTGTGGTAAAGAATACAAAATTACT